TCCCGCCCCTCGCTCAGCCAGTGAGCGGCTGGTCTGTATGTGGGATCTGAACCCTCGGCGGGAGCGCCACCATGCTTCCCAAGCGGCGCACTATAGCAGTGCGCCACCAGGCCGGCCCAGAACAGGCCAACTCCTAAAAAGACAGCTTTGAGTTAAAATGGAGAAAACTGAACACAAACTAAATATTTGACGATAATAATAAATTATTGTTAATTTTGTTGGGTGTAATAATGTTGTGGTTTTGTTTCTTTAAAATGTTTACCTGTTACAGATAAAACTGAAGCATTTAGTGTTGAAATGATATAGTATCTGGAATTTGCTTTAAAATTTTTAAAGTATGCATGAGTAGGAGAGACAACTGATATTTTTCTTTTTTTTTTTTTGTCTTTTTCCGTGTCCGGCAACGGATCGCAACCCTCAGTGTCGCCCCCGTACCGGACCNGCCTGCTAGGTGAAATGCAACAATCTTCTGACAAAATTAACAGACATTATAATCTCTAAAGCGTTATAATCAACAATGCTGCAACAACAAAAAAAGATAAGACATGTGAATAAACAGGAAAATGTGACCTAGAGTCAAGAAAAAGCTATCAATATAGAGTATTTGACAATCCTAATGCTGGAATTAGCAAACAATGCCTTTATCATGATTGAATTAATAGGAAAAGACAGACATATCCTCCTTGAGCTGAAAGTAACAAACTTGTTAAAACAAATGCTGATGTCAGGGTGTTAAAATAATCTATATTTCCATAAAGGTTGGTAAATAAGCCTTGAAGCAAATCACTCAAGTACATGTCAGTCACTGACACCCTCCTTCACAAAAATCTAGCAAACTAAAGGATTTATGCTTGGCATAGTAGGGGGATGTCAGAACCAATAACCCAGGTCTTTTCATGCTGTATGGGTTTTCTTACGTATGTTGAATATCACCCCTGGTTTTTAGTACATATGAAATACGCATAAATGCACTCTAAGTTATGAGCCTCTTTATTTTATTTTATTTTTTTCCTTTTTGACCGGTAAGGGGATTGCAATCCTCGGCACGGTGTTGTCTGCACCATGCTCAGCCAGTGAGCGCACTGGCCATCTCTATATAGGATCTGAACTGGTGGCCTTGGCGCTATGCCGCACTCTCCCGAGTGAGCCACAGGGCCGGCCCTCAGAGAGCCTCTTTAATCACTGACTTCATGGGCTTTATAACAGCTATCTGGTAACCCAGGTGTGGGTGTGTATATTCTTAAAATTTACAACTGTGATTAGGTTCTAAGGAATTTAATATAGTTAGAAAGCAATATGCTGAAATAGAATAGTGTTTCTGATGAATCAAATGTTCTTAAGAGGAAATTATATAGTTCACAAATTACCGAATTCTCCAAAATGTAAAAATATTTAGTACTTAACTAGTATTAAACACTATATACTATTAGCATGTTCCTAGTGTCCAGGATAGAGGAAAATATGGAATAAACTGTAGAACTTGAAAGTTAGAAATAGAATAGCTAAGAGTTTTAACTATAACTCAAATCCTTATTAAATTACAAATTTTTAACCTTCTAAATATTCTCTATCTTCAATAACAAAGGTTGGATGATTAACATTAATCACAATTTTCTTCAATTAAAAATAAAATATGACAGTACTCTTGACTCCTATAAGCAACAGCATAAACATTATCCCTAACTGTATTTGACTTATGTTTGTTGTAATGGGAGGGAAAATAGTTGGTTAAGCCTAAGTTTTTTGTCTTCTCACTCAATTCAAAATTGTATAGGAAATCTCCAATCAAATTTCCAGCAATTACTTGTTATAGGTACTACAAACAATTTCTGAAATGCAATTATTTTATTAGATTTTTGGGAGAAACCTGAGATTTCCAACCACCTAAATTTGTAGATTAAAACCTAGTATCTGACAGTTGAACTTGCACAAGATGGCAGAAATTCTTTTTCTTAAAGACTCTTTTTCTACCCTGTTTCCATGCACTATATATTTTTTACCACCAGGAGGAGGTAAAAAGCCAAGCCTGTATAGTTCTTCCACCTTGCTTGGTACCCACAGACCTTCGAAATTCCTTATGCATCAAATTATATTCTTGAAGAGGATTTTCAGGCTGAAATAAAATCTGAAGTGACCAAGGTGATGAGTAACCTAAACTCAATCTTTTATAATACTGATCACATTTAAGCAAATAAGAATAGTGGCATTCTTTTCTATGAGGAGAATAAAGTATAAATGGATGGACTACACAAGGCAAGACAATAGCTAGTCACCTGCATACAATTTTATTTAATATGTCCCAGTGTCATTCTGCACATCATTCTAACAAAAGAAATGGTGAAAGAGGTCTTTAACTAGAACTGTGAATCAGAAGGATTTGTAAAAAGTATTATATTCATATAGTTCAATAACAGTAATATTGCATTCATATAGTTCAATATTTTAAGAGCACACAATAAAAAGTCTTTTTCCTAAACCTGTCCTCCAGCCACACAGCTCTCATCCCTAGTTTCTTGTGTATTCTTCCAGAACAATACATATTCTAATACCACCATCTCCCTTTTAAAAACACAGAGTAGGGCCGGCCCGTGGTGCACTCGGGAGAGTGCGGTGCTGGGAGCGCAGCGACGCTCCTGCCGCGGGTTC